GTTACGTGTTTGTAAACCGTAACTCTCGCGAGATCACGTTTTGAAGTGATTGGTCATTAATTATCCTGATGAAGGCGACAGTGGTCGCTGAAAATTTGATCCCTGTAAATAGTGTGTTGGAATAAAGTTTAACGTTTTACTAATCTACGAGCTCATTAAATGGAACTTATCTCAACTGTGTAAACTCAAACGTGTGGGTCTTCTCAACGCTTAACCATACACCAAAGCATTATCGTACCCCTAAACACTAAACATTAGTCTACAGGCTCATTAAATGGAGCTTATCGGAACTGTATAAACTCAAACATGGATCCTCTAAACAAGACATGAACGCTTATGCATAACAATGTTACCTATCAAACCAAAGAAAGTTCCTACCTCCGAAAGACGTTACTACAGACCACCTGTTGGTAGATTAAGTGTCCTTCAGACACCACCTGCCCGCTAAAACAGACACTAACAGGTGTCTCCTGTAGCGAAGCGGCCGTCCCGACCCTGGTGTAACCGTATCTGTGCTACCCCGGCCCGCGCGGCCTTGTTTCTATCGCCGCCACGTGCCGGATGTGTCTCACGTGAGACCCACGCGCCGAGGGTCCCCCCCCACACACACACACACCGCGTCTGACGCAACGAACATGACCTCTGAACCACTTTCACTGCCGTCGTGACGCGCGGTAGAGACTTTCCCTTGAAGTGCGCTGACCCGCACTACCTGTGACCCTCCCCGTTGTTGTTTAATTCTGGGTAACAATAACAGTTACTAGTAACTTACTACTGACGTGACCTCAGGTGACCCCGCGCCATCGCACGCAACACGACATCCTGCCGCAAACTTGCGTCATTCATACAATCTCCAAGCAGACGTTTGGCGTCGACTTGTGGTTGAAATTTTTTTTAAATCTCTTCCAACATTTCCTGATATAGACATGGTGACAGCACACTCAAGTTATACATCAACGTATTTTACGCCGCCACCAACGCAGAGGACGAATACTGGACAGACAATACTCATTTACACCTCAGCGAAGTGAGGAAAGTCGTGTAAAGTGCCTTCCCCAGGGTTCAAGATCGGTGGCATGTCAGGACTCGAACCCGGGACCTCTTGGTTCCGAGTCGAGCAAGCTGCCGCTACGCCACGCGACATAACTTTTGTTTCAAATCAGGTTTTATATTTTCTTGTACCGGCAACTTTACTCACCAGCCAAATGGTGACATACTGGATATTACCCTGCCAATTTGATACTGTCTTGCCAATTTGATACAGTTTTCCCAATTTGATACAGTTTGCCATTTTGATACAGTTTTCCCAATTTGATACTGTCTTGCCACTTTGTAGCCAACGAAAGATCTGTTGGAGATTTCATCATTCCCACACGCCCCTCACTACCAGGACATGGAGGGGATCAATAGTGACAATTCCTGGTTACGGATCTCAACAAATAACCCACAAAACTTTCCGTCATTGCATCAGACACGAACGGTTACAAAGAAGTGACCTACAGGACACAGAAAACCAAGAGAAGACAATACTCCGTCGTGACTGTTAGGGCCCGGTCACAATAGTCCTACTTGGTAAATATACGACGGCAAATAAGGCACAATTCTTGGTAATACATGCCACCAAATCATTAGCCTCCGCCAGGCTTTTCTACGGGAATACGGATCGTAGAATTCGGCAAAAAAGAGAGTAAAATTGGCCAAGGGAGTCCGGCCGCGGGGAGGTAGTTTCTTTCCCTCCGCGGCCAGTCAAACCTACAAGGCGGCCAAACTCCCCCGGCAAATATTCTCCTATACATAGCCAGCGTAGTTAGTCTGGTAGAGACTAACAAATCATACCCAACCCCCGTCATTGCATCACACACAAACACACACAGTTGACGTATACCCGGTATACAAGACACAGAAAACCCATTCTAACGCAACCACGACGAAAAAAAAAACAATACCTCGTAAGGCCTAGGGTCCGGGCACTTAAGTCGCACGATCGGACTACAATGGCGGTCTTGCGACAGTCGTAGAAGCGTCGCACAACCTTCAACTGTGTTGTGAAGAAAATTGTCGGCGTAGCTCCTTGTCCACGGTAAGTTCTGTTACATGTGCGCTCCTCAGCGAAACCCTTGAACAAAGAAGTCACTCGACTAATCTGAAGTGCGCCTTATAAGGCCTTCCATATAGTCATATGTACTTGATGAGTCATAGAAAAAAAATCATTTCTTAAACATTCTAAGTCTTATCTATTCTTTATCTGCAATGTCTGGACGCTAAGGTGGTCTCGATGGCCTCTTCCTTTGTCTTAGACTGACCAGCGACGCCCTGACAAGTTGAACTAAACATGTCCGTCAAATAGTTGAGTCAGAGTCAGTTTAGTCTCTACCAGGCACCGCGGATCGCTGGAAAATATATAGTCTCTTCTAAATACGCTAGCTATATAGGAGAATGTTTGCCGGGGGAGTTTGCCGCTTTGGGGTTTGACTTTGAGGGAAAGGTGGTCTCGATGACCTCTTCCTTTGTCTTAGACTGACCAGCGACGCCATGACAAGTTGAACTAAACATGTCCATCAAACAGTTGAGTCAGAGTAGCTTCTACCAGGCACCGCGGATTGCTGGAAAGTATATAGTAGTAACTATGCACCAAGTAACATCTAGCGTCAGTGCACAGCAAACCAGTCAGAATTGCCCTGATGAAGATGACAGACAGTCATCGAAACGTCGGCTCGTGAAAAATAAATGGTTGTGATCAAAGAACTTTGCTATTCATTCGTTTACCAACCTGATGAAATTATTTATGGATATAGTAGTAAAATTGGCCAAAATAAAGGGAGTTATCCGGCCAGAGAGGGTACACTTTTCCGTACGTGGGTCGCAAAATGTACCCTCTCTGGCCGGCTAACTCCACTGGTATCTATGGTATTCCCTTTATTTTGACCAATTTCTACTATTTTTCCAGCGATCCGCGGTGCCTGGTAGAGGATAGAGCTAGAGGGTCGGTACCTTGAACGGACGAAGGTTTTCTGTCGTGCCTGGTGCAGCTTAACTCTAGTAACAGCTGCAGAGAAGCGAGAAAACCCTGATAACACAACAAAACACAACAGAACTAGAGTTCGACGATGTCATACCTTCGCCAAATGATGACTGAGAAATTATAGATTAATCTGCTGTTCCAGAGCAAGCCGCTAGGGGGCCCAAACTCATGTCACTTCTTCCCTACCACAAGAGCTATCTACCATCTAAATTTCTTGACCCTAGCATGTCCAGATCATGAGATATCAAAACCGGACATGACAAGCCGCCAGAATCTAACCACTTTGGGTTCTCATCAAAACCTACCCACATACCAAATATCAAGACAATCCATCAAGGCCTTCTCGAATTATTACACACAAACACACACATACATACACACACACACACACACACTCACTCACACGAACGTCCCTGAAAACATAACCTTCTTGGCGAAGGTAACAAGGTCCGTGACAACAGACGGCTTTGTCCTTCTTACCACAGAAATCAGCCTAGTATGTCCCAAACAGCTGCCCAGAAGCCAGGCGTTAAGCCTTACTGACTGCCGCAGTGATTCATGTACAGGATTTTAGCTTTCAGAAGTTGCAGAGAAGATAAGGTGCTTTACTCTGCTGGTGCGAACAAGCCGCTACTGTTTTCTATAAAGGCTACAAACAGCTGCACAGGAGCGAAGACACGTCGCGCTAAGCCCTTCCTTATTCCTGACCCCATTACACGTCTTTAAGAAGCTGTTCCGAGAAGCTTTTAAGGCGTCTTGGCTAGTGAGACCAAGGGTCGGCGGAGTAGTTAGAGCTGCTGTTGGTACTAGCCTCCACCAGGCCTTTCTACGGGAATACGGATCGTAGAATTCGGCAAAAAAGAGTTGAATTACCCCCGTTTTTTTATGATAGAACTGGGCTAATCAGAAAACAGGCGAAGACCACTAAACCCCCAGTTCTATAAGCCTGCTACGGAGGCTAATGGCATCGACCGTTTCATGAGGCGACGGCCGTTTACGAGACGGAAATTATCAGCATGTCCGTGGCGCCACCCGTGGTTCTCTGTAGGGTCGTTACGGCGGGCGGGACAACCTGTTAACAGTTTGGGCGTGAGGATTTTTTTAAATTCCAACATGTAAATCACCAGACGTGGTGACGGCACACTCAAGTTTTTCAACTTATATTAATGCCGCCACCAACACAGGGGACAATACAATACTCATTTTCACCTGAGTTAATTGAGGAAAGTCGTGTAAAGTGCCTTTCCCAAGGGCACAAGATCGGTGGCATGTCAGGACTCGAACCCGGGACCTCTTGGTTCCGAGCTGCCACACGACCCCACAACCGTGAAGATTCCACTGTAGGGCAGGGCTCCAAGCAGATACAGGGTTCCGCTTGTCTCACACGCGGTTATCTGAACTGTCACGTCGCCCAGACTGTCTATTGTATCCAGAACCGCGCCTGTCTAGTTCTACGTCTGAACGGTTAAGGATAGGATCAGGTGCGGTTCTGGATAGTCTCCGCGTATCCAAGAACATAAATTTGCCCCAGACACGGTTCTGGATAGTCTCCATGTTTCCAAGAACGTAGATTTGCAGGATAACATACACAGTCATATACAGTCATTGCTGTACTGTTATATTAACTGTGCTGTCATACTGCCAATTAAACAATGAATTACTAGTACCTTGTATGTAATGTCCTAAAAGTTTAAAGTAAAACACGAAAAATTTTAGTCTTGCCCATCCAATGTTTTTGCATCGTCATACTGACGAAGTTAGCCTCCGTAGCAGGCTTATAGAACTGGGGGTTTGGTGGTCTTCGGCTGTTTTCTGATTAGCCCAGGTCTAAAAACGGGGGTGATTCAACCAGGCCGGCTATGTTGTCTATATGCAGTCAGAAAATAGCACATAAAAGCTCCCAAAGACCCCCAAACCCCCCAGTTTTTAGCATACTATGGAGGCTAAGACACCGTTAGGTTTGCTCATGTTAGGAAAGCCAACAAACCGGGGGGCATGACCAGTCAGGTAAACCTTTCGTATGTCAGGACGCATTACAACAGCTACTTGAGTGGAGAACATTCTTTAAAAGTCATAAATTTGTCGTACATACAAAATTCAGATGCCTTCTGACGAAAAAGTTGCCGTAAAATTCATTTGAAAGGACGGTTCTGTCAAACCCTCACTGAAGTCCGACGAGCCAACAAACATCGTACAGTGACTTTTGTTGTATCCAGAACCGTGCTTTATCCAGAACGTTATTCAGGCCCGGTTCTGGATAGTCCACGCGTATCCAGAACCGTGCCTGGGGCAAATCTACGTTCTTGGATACGCGGAGACTATCCAGAACCGTGCCTGATCCTAACCCATTCAGGCATAGAACTACATGTAGATAGGCACAGTTCTGGGTACGATATTAAATAGTGACTTCGCCTTTAGCGACAATCGAACATTCCACACATTATAACGTAATACAGAAC